CGCAATCGCCGCAATTGCGGTAAACAGTAGTTTCACCGCCAAACAAATTCTGGTGTTGCTGGGAATTACAGAATTTGGATACGACCTCATAAGCGTCATGACAACAATTGTCCTTAAGAATAAATCCGAAGAAACTACACGCACCTATGAGCCTGGAAAAGGCTAAAAAAAAGTAAATAAGAACGTATATAATAAAACATGGGTGATAGAAAGGACTTTATGAACGAAGCCTTCGACGCGGGACTTATTACACTCGGAGCAGTCGCTGTGTCCGTGCTAAGCAAAAAAATTGCAGGTGACAGTCTCGGAGTACCTAGTAGTCCGAAAAGAATTCCAAAACTAGCCGTAGCCCTTGGATTCGGCGCGCTTGGAGTTTACTACTTACAATTCAAGAAACTAGTACCTGATGATCCGTTCAAATAAACCACTATAATAAAAGAAGATGACAAATGTCGTAGTCGGAGGATTATTCAACGTCGTAGCATTTGCAGGAGCTGGATTCCTGTTCAGCAAATTAAACCGCAGCGGATACGAAGACGAAATGAAGAGACATAACAAGGCACTGGAAAAATTAGCGAAAGCTGAAGAAAAATGGTATGAAAGTCAAGTGGAAAAAAAGAACAGAATTGCAATACTCAGGCAGGGACTAGTTGACGCCAAATCGGATATGGAAACGACAAACCGTGCTCTGGACTCCCTGCGGAAAGCGAAGGAGGAGTTAACCCTGGATAAAGAACCAACAATTCCCGATTACTACAGACCATTGAGCGAAATGGAAGAATACCAGCAGATCACGATCGGAATATTGGGACTGGGGTCTGAATTCATAATTACAAAATTACTTTAGACCTGTTAAAATTTTAATGTTCCTTTGAATATTAAAATTGGTTTCTACTGTCTTAGGTTTTTGTGTCCGATTCTAGCGTGTGGATTCCATCATTCATAATTATCCTCTTGTCATCGTTTGCTGATAGGGCTACTTTAACGACCCTTTCCATATATATTTTGTGTAGCCTACTTCTGAAGACATTCATTCCCCTCCACTGTTTCTCACCGCTGAATAGACATTCTTTATAATTTTCGAATGTTATTTCCTTTTTGATGACTACTTTCTTGACTCCCTTACACTTTTTCTCCTCACCTAGATTGCTGATGTCGAATCTTTCGTAAACATCTTCGGATATATCCTTGAAGAAATCCTCGGTTTCAATTTCATAGCATAGGGAGTCCGTGTCCGTGAATAGGTGCCTGGCATCATCCCCATACCTTGGCTTATTAATGTAATTGTAGTGGAAATCGTACATGAGGGTCTTACTGATGTCAAGGATGCTCATCCCTAAGTATTTAGGTTTATTCAGTTTTACGGATGTCTTCATCGTATGAACTGCCACTATGTTTTCGGAAAAGATGGTCGCAGATTTGTAGTTATGCTTTTGAGCCAGCTTGTTCCACTTCTTTTCGTTGTTAACAAGTCTTATGTCGATCCTATTCCTAACATTTTCCATCGTCTTTCCGAATACCGAGTTGTTCATAAGCTTAAAGAAGTCCTTTTCAAAGTCTGTAGTACTTTTGGTACGCAGGTCCGTGTTGAGCTGGATATATTCCTTCATCCCGGGATTTTCGTAGAATTTCAGTCCACGGTGAATCTTAGTGAGCTTTAACCCCAGGCTCAGGTACTGTCTTAGGTTCTTGTGGTTAAGGACGTATTTTTCCTTGTTGTTGAAGTTCGGAATGAGTTTTTCCACTTTGTTGGCCATTATCCTTTCGGGTGCGAGGGGGTATTCGTTATGTTTGTCATGTAGTTCGTCGGGGTATTCCAGATCCACTTCGAGGATGCAGCTGTAGTCTGTCCACTTCTCCAGTTCTTCATCATTCATCCATTTGAAGTCTCTGATGGGTAGGGGTTGACTCATTTCCCATCCGTATTGGTTGTTCGCGTCCATATAAGGGAGGTATGTAGACCGCTCTTCATCATCGCGACCAACCTCCAGTTTCGTACCGGTAATGATTGAAATAATCATGCTGATCATAGATATGATCACGGCTGGTAGACCGGAAAACCTTTTCATTATCCACTTTTTAAACCTTTCCAACCCGGTTAGGTTTTCAAGAGGTCTAATATACTTATTATGTGCCTTGGCATACCTTTTGGTAATAGTGCTGATCCCACCTCGAATACCCTTTTCGATAAATAGGTACATATCCGGATGGGAAATAAGATCCAGCTCCACACCGGTTAACTTCAGCGCAGCGTCCCATGCCAGCCCGGGTGCTGTATAGTACCAAATAGGATCCAGCCCGTAGTTGGTCTTTAAAACCTTTCTAAAGTTTTCCATCACATCTACTAGAAGAAGGACATCCGTTTTCAGGTACAGATCGTGATAGTTCCTCATGGTCTTCATGTTGAAGGTATTCCATACGGTACAGGCTCTTTCGTCATCCGTGTCGCTGATGCTTTCGTTGCTTAGCTTATTGAAGAATTTCTCCTTCGGTGGGAGCTGTGTTTCTTCAAGCCTCTCAAAATCATCCATATATTCATAAGGGTAAACACCCTTCTGTTTAAGCAACCCCCTCTGTTCCTTGGTGTTACGACTTGACATCAAATCCAAACTTTTGAAGTCGTCCTTACCCAAACCTCTGACGAGTTTGTCCAGGGAGCTTGCCATGAACTTAAACGAGTCGAGGAACCTTAGTTCTCTTATGACCTTCTTCTCCTTTCCGTTTTCGTTGGTAAACCTAGCGACCTCTATCTCCTTAGTAAAGGAAATGTACTTCTCAAATTCATTAATAATTCATGAGTAATTCAGCCAATGATAATCACCTATTTGATCACAAGATGCCATTTGGATACTTGATGAAAGTCACTGGTGTTTTCATCAAATATCTTAATTACGCATGCAAAATTACTTGAATAGAATTCCTAATTGCGTTATGCTTGGTTACGAATTCTATTCAAATCAGCAAAC